ATACATTGGAGCCAAGCTCCAGATAGTGCACCTTGAACTGCAAGGAATCGTGCATTATCAGTATTTGTCTGGGATTTAAATTCGCTTGATGTTGATTAGATCCCAGGATTTTTGACTATGAGGAATTGCAGCAATCTCAGTATTTAAATAACTCCATGCCGTTAAAGCATCAGCCTGAAGGTGGACAGGAAATTGGCCATCCATATGGGGAAGAATTTGAGACGCCAAAGTCTGAGCACCGTAGGTTGAGCTGAGAAAGCAAGGTAGTGCTATGTCGCATATTTTTCGAAGGCCAGTTCCTCCGTCAATTACAGGTAAAGTTGCTTGTCGCCATTCGTCATCGTTGATATTCATGTTGAGGACGTTGGTAAAGGAGCTTCTTAGGAGGTCGTCGAATGATATCAACATTTGTGGAAAATTCCACACTGCGCATGTACGTAAGAAGTAAGTTAATTTCGGAATGTAAAGGCAGTTACGTAATAAGAAATACGCTATGTGCGTGTTAATTCCTGAGAGGCGATCCGTTAAACATTGGAGTTGGTGTAACTTTTTCATAAAGCAGTTTGAGTATGCTTCTTCGAAGATTGGAGAACCAAGAATTTCTAGATTATGACAAGTTACTAGACGGATACCTGGGCAAATTTGTTGAAAGGAACGTAATACAATCTCGTTCACGTAACCATTACAAAAGAAAAGTTCACATTTTCTTGTATTAATTTCCAATCCTCTTTCATTAGCAAGTTTCAATAGATTTATAAAATCAGCCAACACAGTCTTGAAATTATCTGCAAGAGAGGCATCATCAAGATATACAGGGTGATTCCTATAGTACCTGCCACCGTTTGGGAGCGTGTAGGTGGTGCGTAGGGGAGTATTTTGATATAGGACACTTGGGGTCGGCAATCTAAAATAAGGGTGCCAGAGCCAAATTTACCTTCTGGAATTTCGCGCCTGTAGGTAGGCAACCCAACCGGCCGGCGGTGCACACGGAGCTGACACTTGATCAGAATTTTGTTTAAACCCACGAAATCCCGTCTGCAACGACGCGTATCAAGTGAATAAACACTATGGCAATAGTATAATAATAGTTGGCTAGATGTAGGAAGTGCAATGAGAACAACGGTGGCCACGTTGAACACTTGTAAACGTTATTGCTTTTGACTGTCGTTTTCCCTCCTTCCCTCCCATGTCGCTTCCTCGCGCTACCTCGCTCTGCATCGCTCCGCGCGAAACGTCGGTCGGTTGGGTTGCCTACATACAGGCGTGAAATTCCAGAAGATAAATTTGGTTCTGGCGCCCTTATTTTAGATTTCTGACCCCAAGTGTCCTATATCAAAATACTCCCCTAGGCACCCCCTATACGCTCCCAAACGGTGGCAGGTACTATAGGAATCACCCTGTATATAATATTTTAATTGATCTTCATTAAAAGTTTTCGAAAAATTGCAGTCTTCATTTCTGTGCAGGTAATTTCTTTTTTCGGTTTCTGTTTTCTTGTCCCCCCCAGAGCTCCTTTCTTGCAAATGCAAAAAGGGATGCAGAGGTGGCTGTATTTGCCTGAAAGCAGGTCTCAAATGCTTTGTGATGTGTGCTAACTGCGCTGGGGAAACGTGCCAGAACGCTGCCCTTATCATCATTGAAGAGGGCGACGATGACGAGCCTCAAGAGAACCCTGACGATCCAGCAATACTGGGCTCCCTACCTATAAAGGACCGCGACGACAATCCACCAATAGTAGAGGACCTGCTTGTTAAAGAGTGCAGCGAAAGTGACGGCCCAGAGCCATTCAAAACAAGGAGACGATTTTGATCTATCTTTGATTTATTGGTTATATACCTACTACAATTTTTATGACTTATGTTTATATTAAAATACACCTCACCGTTTTTTTTAATGATTGCATGGCAAATTTTTCTTTACCACACCAAAAAACAAGAAATAAAAAGCTTTTGGAACATTTGTGGATAAATGCGATTTTACCTTATATCGGTTTTTTTGAGATTTAGAGATAACTACGAGACCTGCAACCCCACTTTACACTTAACTTAAAGCTAATTAAATTATCTACATCTTCTATTTTATAAGAGTAGTATAGGGGCCACCATGGGCACCCCCCACTCCTCCTCCTTTAAGCCCCGCCCCCCTGGCTTCCTATTGGTTGGCTTATACCCCGCCCATCTCCCACTCCTTTAATCTGATTGGCTCCCCGCCCTCGTTTGAGAATCCTCGATTCCTATTGGTTCCACCCCCTTCGTTCTCATTGGTCCTGACAAATCCTCGATTCCTATTGGTTCAACCCCCTTCTCCTTTCCTTCGTTCTCAATGGTCCTGACAAATCCTTGATTTCTATTGGATGGATTTCCCACCCGTTCTTCGACGCATCTACCTCCAGTCGCCGTTGCATGGTCTCTCTCGTCCACATGGTTATCGACGACTGTTTCTCAGTTCATATCCAGTCGTTGTGGGGGGGACATGCCACTTTTGGATCTTTCAGAAAAAACCCGTAGAGATCAAGGTTCGAACCTACTCCCCGCACGTACTACCGTCGTAGAGTATCGATATAGCATCTGCGCTACGAAGAACTAATGCAAAATATAGGTATCTCGTCGTTCCATATTCCTGCACTGTGCTGCTGTGGTTGATTAATCGTGGGTATGCTATATAAATTACGTTCTAATTATTTTTAGGCAATAAATGGATAAACAAAAATAAGGCAATCGTGAAATTCGTGTATGTTTTCTGAGGGGTGTTTGAAATCTGCACCGATTTTGAAAGTAATCTTTATTTTCGTTTAGACTTGCGTTGCATAACGTTAAATCACGTGATCACACACCTGCAATAAAATTTCAATTAGCGGAAGACCGTATCAGTATCCATTTGAACATTGAGGCAGTTAGTTCATATTTTTCTTGGTAAAGAAATCTTCGTACTTACGCCTAGTAAAAAATTACAGACCGATTAGAAGGTCTGCATTATGTCTTCCACCAATTTTGCAATTTTTAAAGCTCATTGCATAATCTGTATCATAGATCACGTGATAAATATCTAGGTAATGCATTCTTATAAAGTCAGTGCACCTGTGCAAAGTCGACAGTATAAAGAAGCACTTCGAAGTGTAAACGTACCTGTGAGCCGCACAGATTGAATTCTTTTCTGGCTTACCAATTCCATATTAAGTTGGTATTCTCGTGCATGCCAAAATCAGTTTTGCATTCGAATTCGAATCAGACTTAAGAAAAAATAGCTATCAGCGCGATAAGGTTTTTGTTTAAGTGTATCTAGGAGTAAGATTTCTGCACGATAATTATTACGCAAAGTAGGTTATTAATAACATTTTTTTCAATCGCATCATTGCGAGTAGGTAGCTAATTCTCGCCGCTATAAAAAGTACATCACTGGTGTGTTGTAACTAGGTAAGCACTTTCAGATTCACTCGGTAATTACCTATACCCCCATTCAAACTTTTTTTTTTGGTGACTATGGCCAAATACGAAATTGTTGGCGAATTTCAAAAGAACGTTAAAAGGTTCGCATTAAGGGGGCGTACAATAGAATTCAAAATCAAAGACGTTCCACCCAATGAAAACACAGTGTTGTGGATCAAAACAGCCATCAACCAAATAATCTCTTATATATGCACTGACGTTTCTCCTTCTGATATGATCGGGTTTAATTTTTGTTCTAAAAAGTTTTCGCGAGGGGGAGGGTACTTACGATTCCAGCCTGCCGAATCGGTATCTTTTGAAGATATTTGGGGATTAATTTCGAGCATTTATCAATCTAATTCAGCTGGTTTAAGTACGGAAACCTTCTGTTTGGAGGCTACAATTATCCGGGTGCCATCCGGCAAAGGTAGGATTAAGGCGGGTAACTACAACAATTTTGAGGAAGAATGTTCTGCTCGAAAGGGGATTATTTCCATTAAAAATACAGATAACTTATGTTTACCCAGAGCTCTTGTTGTTGCCATAGCTAAAGTCACGGGCGATTCTGGTTATGAGAACATAAGAAGAGATAGAGGTCATGTTCAGTTAAATAAGGCGAAACAGTTGATGCAGGAAGCTGAAGTATACATTGAGGCAAACGGTGGCGGAATACCCGAACTGAACAAATTCCAATCTTATTTTGGTAACAACTTTAAGATTGTGGTATATAATTTCGGTACTAAAGGGCGCGAAGTCATATTTGAAGGCAACTCAGACGCAAAGTTGACAATCAATCTATTATATTTTGAAAATCATTACAATGTTATTACTTCACTAACGTCGGCTTTTGTGTGCCGATATTATTGCGAACCTTGCCATATCCCCTATAACAATAAAGGGGGTCATATTTGTGCCAGTATTTGCATATCTTGTAAACGGTCCCCCGCATGTGATCGAGAGCTGATAATTAAATGCGCTGATTGCCGTAGGAATTTTGTCTCAAATTTATGTTTCAGTAACCATAAACTTCACTCGGGAAAAGAAGATAAATCGGTTTGTGAAAAATTTTTTAAATGTCGTACGTGCTACAAAATAGTTTTAGCCGGGCGAACTCACAGTTGTAATACAATTTATTGCAATATATGTCACCAAAACCGACCAAATAATCATCTTTGTTATATGCCCTTGGATTCCTCTTCACCAAAATTAACAGATTTCCTTTTTATTTTTTACGATTTAGAATGCACGCAAAACAAAACTGTATCTGATGGAAAATCTTTGCATGAACCAAATTTATGTGTTTTCAATCAGAGGTGCGAAGTATGCATCGATTATCCAATCGAGAAAGTTGTTTGCAGAAAGTGTGGTGTACGTCAACAGGTATTAAATATGAGCAGCATAATTGAGACGTTTTTTCAACATATTTTAGAGATAAGAAAGAAGTTCAAACATGTAATAGTTTTGGCACACAATGGACAGGCTTACGACCATCAATTTATTTTGAATTATATTTTAACCAAAACTCAGTTCAAACCAGAATTAATTATGAGAGGTTCAAAAATAATTTCCCTGAGTATGAATAATGTGAAACTGTTAGACTCTTTGAACTATTTTCCCATGTCCCTCGCCAAGTTACCAAAAGCGTTCGGTTTAACAGACGATTTTCGAAAAGGATTTTTTCCGCATCACTTTAATACACCCGAAAATCAAAATTATGTAGGACCGTATCCCGATATGAAGTATTATAATCCAGATGCTATGAAGACCGACGAAAGAGATAAATTTATTAGTTGGTACACCGAAAATAAAGACAACATCTTTGATATGCAAAAGGAAATTGTCTCTTATTGCATATCCGATGTAAATATATTAACGCTCGCCTGCCTGAAATTTCGAGAATTATTAATTAAATCCGGAAATGTGTGTCCGTATACAGAGGCATGTACGATTGCCAGCGCATGTAATAAACTGTTTCGTCGTAACTTTTTGAAAACAGACACGATCGGTTTGATTCCTAGACAGGGATATCGATACCGCGATAATCAATCAAAAGTAGCAATTCACTGGTTAATATGGGAGGAAAAGGTGCGAGGAATAGACATCGTGCACGCTGCCAAACAGAAAGAAATCGTCATCGGTGGTTTGCCTGTTGATGGGTATTGTCCACAAACAAATCAGGTATTTGAAATGATGGGGTGCTTTTATCATGGGTGTGTAAAATGTTTTAAAAATGATCGCGACAAACCTATACACAGTAACTCGTACGAAACGATGGATTTAAGATACGAAAATACCTTGTCAAAAATCAATCACCTTAATCAACTAGGTTACGAGGTAATAGTAAAATGGGAATGTGAATTTAAACAAGATACAAACCCCAACATAAATAAGTATGTGTCTGAACACCCATTGGTACATTTTGCTCCATTAAACGCGCGAGACAGTTTTTACGGCGGTCGAACCGGTAACATAAAGTCCTACTATAAAGTAAAAGACGGAGAAAAGATCAATTACATCGATATCTGTTCATTGTATCCCTACATTTGCAAAGTAGGCAAATTTCCTATTGCCCATCCTCAGGTCTTAGTAGGGAGCGACTGTGCCAATCTCGACGTCACAAAAGTCGATGGACTTATTAAATGCAAGGTACTGCCTCCACAAAATTTATTTCATCCCGTTCTTCCAATAAAGTTAAATAATAAATTAATGTTCCCTCTGTGTTATTCCTGTGCTAAAAATTTTACGCAGGAGGATTGTTCCCACGAAATAGGCGATAGAGCCATTGTGGGAACATGGGTGGCCGACGAAATTGTCAAATCTATAGAAAAGGGTTATAGGATTATGGAGGTATACGAAGTTTGGAGTTATAAAACGGAGCAGTATGATGGCAAGTCAGGTGGTTTATTTACTGAAATGATGAATAAATTTATTAAAATCAAACAAGAAGCGAGCGGGTGGCCATCTAACTGCAAAACTGACAAAGAAAAACGAGCCTATATTGCACGATTTTATGAAAAAGAAGGTATATTATTGGAGTTTGATAAAATTGAATTGAACCCAGGTCTACGTTCGTTAGCAAAATTAATCTTAAATTCATTTTTCGGAAAATTCGGTCAACGAGAGAACCAACCTAAAACCAAAATTATTAACCAACCGGTGGAATTGTATGCACTTCTGTTCGATCCTACAATTGATGTTGTAGGCATCTTACCAATAAACGAAGACACTTTAGTGGTAAACTATCAGCATAAAGAGGAATCATACACCCTTTTAAGTACAGTTAATGTATCCATTGCAGCATACGTCACAGCACAAGCTCGTTTGAAGTTATATTCATACATGGAACGATTGGGTGATCGTGTTTTATACTTTGATACGGACAGTATAATTTATATATCGCGAGAAGGAGAATACGAGCCCCAAACGGGCGAATTTATTGGGGACATGACAAACGAGCTTGATTGCTATGGCGCAGGTAGCTATATTACGGAATTTGCCTCTGGAGGGCCAAAAAATTATGGTTTTGTTGTATATTCCCCAACACAGGATAAGTACTTTCAATCCTGCAAGGTTAAGGGTATATGCATCAATCACGAGACATCAAAGCTTGTTAACTTCAACACCATGAAAAATTTGATAATCAATGAAGAGATTCCGAAAAAAATATTGTACACTACGTTTGAGAGGACCGCACAGCATCAGGTGTTAACCAGCCAAAAAGAGAAAATATTTCGAGCAAATTTATTGAAGAGACGTTTCAGCGGTTACGATTCATACCCGTACGGATACAAGAAGATAAAGCAGTGCTGACATAGTGTCTTTGTCGACATCATTAATATGGCGTGATGAGTTTCGTACTAACCCCAACAGCCATAATTTGGATTTGTTTAGTTGGTTGTCGATTTATTTCCCTATTCGGGCATACTGTGTAGTTTTTTTAGAAAATTTATTCATCGTGCATTTAACAGGTGTATTAGATTTCACTATGCAGAGTTATAAAAAATAGCATATTTCTACGACCATTTACATATAGTTTTCTTTAAAATAGGCAGATGATAAGACATTAAAAAACTAGTAATTTTACAATTGTAATATTTCAATTTGTATATATCTATGTATTATATAATATATGAATCTCAATAAATACTATTATCAAAAGCAATGTATCATTTCTCAAACACAATTCATATATCAAATGAAGTGGCACACAATGGCCATTACCATTTGGAAATTACTATACAGGATTTTGTCGGATCGTCCATTCCGAGACTGCTACGACGTTAGTTAGATAGGTAGGTATGTGTTTAAATGCCGAAATGAAGCCAAATAAAGAAATTATTACATCCATAAGCCAAGGTACGCTATGCAATTCGTCAGACTGTTAAATTTTGTCCGCTTTGCGATATAGCAGAGAGAGATTAGGCATAACAAAATGAAAACGTTGCAGTATCAGTGTTGGAAGCAAATATACAGACAGTTGTTTACGAGAAACGCATCAAATTGTGTTCCAGAAAAAACAGATGCCTTTCATCGCTACCTTCCATGAGATCTTTCCTCAAAGTGGTGATCTAAAATACTCGCAATCAATCACTTTCACGCGCGGTGGCATATTAGTCCAGACGACGTCACCTTCACTAAAACTCAGCGGCGCGAGTTACGAATTCCTTACGAATTTCTCCATGAATTACCAGTGTAGGTCAGCATAACTGGCATTACTTATACACTTCTGCACAATGAAACATACGACTGAATAAAAAACTGGTACCTACATTGATTTTTGACAATCTTATCAACTTGGTGATAATAAAAAAACAGTTTTGTCCGAGCAATAGTTTTTATCCATTTACCATAAAAAATATCATTTTAGCGCTTTACTAATCTTATAAGAAATAACACTGCTAAAACCTATGAACGGCCGAATACTAAAAAAGCATGTTTGTGTAAATACTGAGTTTTCTATGACACTAAAGTTTCGCAATTATCGAAGGAGACTCAGAAGATGAAAAATCACAAGAGCTCATTCGTTAAAAGTAGGTACATGGCTCTCCTGGTGATACATGTAAACTGATCTGTATACAAATGCTACGTAGAGGAGTTGATGGATCTCGAGCATAATTGCCTGTCATATGGTTTACGCATGAGAGAAACTATGGTTCCCCTACTATGTTCACTTAAGATCATCCCTTATGGGATCATTGACAGTAGAATAGTTCTTTCAAACATACCCGTTTTCGTAGATTCCTGCTACGATTAATTGTTTCGATTATGTGCAACGTTATAGGTATGTCTCCACTTGAAATAGTTTTTGAGCAATAGTATTTAATGGATCTTAATAATAATTTTAAATAACAATTTGTTATTGTCCTCAACAGAACAGTAATCTCATGTTATTTCTTATGGGGAAATGGGGTTCATTTTAGTCATTTTTTGTAACACTGGCACACGCGCAGTAGGTCGCTGAATGATGTGCAAATTAGTTTGGCGCATGCTGGTGGTCACGTGACGTGGTACTTTGGTCCGAGGTGCTCCCTCATATTTTGGCAACGCAAACGCCAACCGAACGCGAACATAAACCATAACGCGAACGTGAACCCAACGTGGACGTGAACGCGAACTTGAACCCAACGTGAACGTAATTGGAACAGGTATCAGCTAACAGGTTCTTTATTAGCGGTTATAAACTGTTAAAGCTGTTAAGCTGTTACACTGTTAAGCTGTTACGCTGTTAAGCTGTTAAAGCTATTAAGGTGTTAAGATGTTAAAGCTTTATACAAGTAAACAGATAAACGGGCAAACAGTATTAAGGATCATTAAATGTGCCTAATATAAATCAGTAACTTCGATGCGATGCGTAGGTAAAAGCATAGTGTAGTCTAAAATAAATGCACATGCACTTGTATACATACAGTGAGTTTTTTTTTAAATGCGTTGGAACAGGTATCAGCTAACAGGTTCTTTATTAGCGGTTATAATCTGTTAAAGCTGTTACACTGCTAAGCTGTTACGCTGTTAAAGCTGTTAAGCTGTTAAAGCTGTTAAGCTGTTAAAGCTATTAAGCTGTTAAGATGTTAAAGCTTTATACAAGTAAACAGATAAACGGGTAAACAGTATTAAGGATCATCAAATGCGCCTAATATAAATCAGTAACTTCGATGCGATGCGTAGGTAAAAGTCTAAAATAAATGCAATGCAAATGCACTTGTATTACATACAGTGAGTTTTTTAAAAAATGAGAATATACGCTTTTGTATGCAATGTAATTTCCCTATGTTAGTTTTTTTTAAAAAACGCATCAATCTATAAGGTGTGCGCGGTTCATATTCCCACCAGAAAAACGCGCAACTTGTGTGACTATGAACAGCAACGGTTTCTATAGCCTCCATGATGAAGGGCACTCGGAAAGAATTTTTTAAAGAAGGCATGTGGGGGCCATAGCAACTTGAGGATAAAAAACTTACGATAACTTGACCTCACAGGGCACTCGCTGACACCAGAATTCATTGTGAACCAACCATCAATTATTTGTAGGTCATGTGCATCTGGTATTCTACTAATTTGATCTATTCAATACATAAATGAAGAAAATAAGTAAAAAATAGCGAAAACAACTACAATAAATGTTCAAAGTGTCCTCTTTGACATTCTAAGCAATCACCTAACCGATTTCGAAATTAAATTCGACGGCGGTATTTTTAAAATAGTGACAGCTGTCAATTTTATCTACTACTCATTTGAACTACTCAATAGATTGATGTGTTTTTTTTAATCGAACATAGGGAGATTACATTGCATGTAAACTCCTATGTTCGCATTTAAAATAAATTCACTGTATATCCGTCACTTACGGCGCACAAGATGCTACTAAAAGGAATCATATTGCAAATGATGGTGAGATTCAAGTAGTTTTCTTCGAACCAAATTATAGAGAACCACACCAAAAACTAAGGTAAGCTCCTTCCTAGGCTAGACGAAATCCGAATCCACAAAAAAATAAGCTACCAAAATTTCGTAACAGTTTTAACAGCTTAAAACCGCTAATAAAGAACCTGTTAGCTGATACCTGTTCCAATTACGTTCACGTTGGGTTCAAGTTCGCGTTCACGTCCACGTTGGGGTCACGTTCGCGTTATGGTTTATGTTCGCGTTCGGTTGGCGTTTGCGTTGCCAAAATATGAGGGAGCACCTCGGACCAAAGTACTGCGCGTGTGCCAGTGTTACAAAAAATGACTAAAATGAACCCCATTTCCCCATAAGAAATAACATGAGATTACTGTTCTGTTGAGGACAATAACAAATTGTTATTTAAAATTATTATTAAGATCCATTAAATACTATTGCTCAAAAACTATTTCAAGTGGAGACATACCTATAACGTTGCACATAATCGAAACAATTAATCGTAGCAGGAATCTACGAAAACGGGTATGTTTGAAAGAACTATTCTACTGTCAATGATCCCATAAGGGATGATCTTAAGTGAACATAGTAGGGGAACCATAGTTTCTCTCATGCGTAAACCATATGACAGGCAATTATGCTCGAGATCCATCAACTCCTCTACGTAGCATTTGTATACAGATCAGTTTACATGTATCACCAGGAGAGCCATGTACCTACTTTTAACGAATGAGCTCTTGTGATTTTTCATCTTCTGAGTCTCCTTCGATAATTGCGAAACTTTAGTGTCATAGAAAACTCAGTATTTACACAAACATGCTTTTTTAGTATTCGGCCGTTCATAGGTTTTAGCAGTGTTATTTCTTATAAGATTAGTAAAGCGCTAAAATGATATTTTTTATGGTAAATGGATAAAAACTATTGCTCGGACAAAACTGTTTTTTTATTATCACCAAGTTGATAAGATTGTCAAAAATCAATGTAGGTACCAGTTTTTTATTCAGTCGTATGTTTCATTGTGCAGAAGTGTATAAGTAATGCCAGTTATGCTGACCTACACTGGTAATTCATGGAGAAATTCGTAAGGAATTCGTAACTCGCGCCGCTGAGTTTTAGTGAAGGTGACGTCGTCTGGACTAATATGCCACCGCGCGTGAAAGTGATTGATTGCGAGTATTTTAGATCACCACTTTGAGGAAAGATCTCATGGAAGGTAGCGATGAAAGGCATCTGTTTTTTCTGGAACACAATTTGATGCGTTTCTCGTAAACAACTGTCTGTATATTTGCTTCCAACACTGATACTGCAACGTTTTCATTTTGTTATGCCTAATCTCTCTCTGCTATATCGCAAAGCGGACAAAATTTAACAGTCTGACGAATTGCATAGCGTACCTTGGCTTATGGATGTAATAATTTCTTTATTTGGCTTCATTTCGGCATTTAAACACATACCTACCTATCTAACTAACGTCGTAGCAGTCTCGGAATGGACGATCCGACAAAATCCTGTATAGTAATTTCCAAATGGTAATGGCCATTGTGTGCCACTTCATTTGATATATGAATTGTGTTTGAGAAATGATACATTGCTTTTGATAATAGTATTTATTGAGATTCATATATTATATAATACATAGATATATACAAATTGAAATATTACAATTGTAAAATTACTAGTTTTTTAATGTCTTATCATCTGCCTATTTTAAAGAAAACTATATGTAAATGGTCGTAGAAATATGCTATTTTTTATAACTCTGCATAGTGAAATCTAATACACCTGTTAAATGCACGATGAATAAATTTTCTAAAAAAACTACACAGTATGCCCGAATAGGCAAATAAATCGACAACCAACTAAACAAATCCAAATTATGGCTGTTGGGGTTAGTACGAAACTCATCACGCCATATTAATGATGTCGACAAAGACACTATGTCAGCACTGCTTTATCTTCTTGTATCCGTACGGGTATGAATCGTAACCGCTGAAACGTCTCTTCAATAAATTTGCTCGAAATATTTTCTCTTTTTGGCTGGTTAACACCTGATGCTGTGCGGTCCTCTCAAACGTAGTGTACAATATTTTTTTCGGAATCTCTTCATTGATTATCAAATTTTTCATGGTGTTGAAGTTAACAAGCTTTGATGTCTCGTGATTGATGCATATACCCTTAACCTTGCAGGATTGAAAGTACTTATCCTGTGTTGGGGAATATACAACAAAACCATAATTTTTTGGCCCTCCAGAGGCAAATTCCGTAATATAGCTACCTGCGCCATAGCAATCAAGCTCGTTTGTCATGTCCCCAATAAATTCGCCCGTTTGGGGCTCGTATTCTCCTTCTCGCGATATATAAATTATACTGTCCGTATCAAAGTATAAAACACGATCACCCAATCGTTCCATGTATGAATATAACTTCAAACGAGCTTGTGCTGTGACGTATGCTGCAATGGATACATTAACTGTACTTAAAAGGGTGTATGATTCCTCTTTATGCTGATAGTTTACCACTAAAGTGTCTTCGTTTATTGGTAAGATGCCTACAACATCAATTGTAGGATCGAACAGAAGTGCATACAATTCCACCGGTTGGTTAATAATTTTGGTTTTAGGTTGGTTCTCTCGTTGACCGAATTTTCCGAAAAATGAATTTAAGATTAATTTTGCTAACGAACGTAGACCTGGGTTCAATTCAATTTTATCAAACTCCAATAATATACCTTCTTTTTCATAAAATCGTGCAATATAGGCTCGTTTTTCTTTGTCAGTTTTGCAGTTAGATGGCCACCCGCTCGCTTCTTGTTTGATTTTAATAAATTTATTCATCATTTCAGTAAATAAACCACCTGACTTGCCATCATACTGCTCCGTTTTATAACTCCAAACTTCGTATACCTCCATAATCCTATAACCCTTTTCTATAGATTTGACAATTTCGTCGGCCACCCATGTTCCCACAATGGCTCTATCGCCTATTTCGTGGGAACAATCCTCCTGCGTAAAATTTTTAGCACAGGAATAACACAGAGGGAACATTAATTTATTATTTAACTTTATTGGAAGAACGGGATGAAATAAATTTTGTGGAGGCAGTACCTTGCATTTAATAAGTCCATCGACTTTTGTGACGTCGAGATTGGCACAGTCGCTCCCTACTAAGACCTGAGGATGGGCAATAGGAAATTTGCCTACTTTGCAAATGTAGGGATACAATGAACAGATATCGATGTAATTGATCTTTTCTCCGTCTTTTACTTTATAGTAGGACTTTATGTTACCGGTTCGACCGCCGTAAAAACTGTCTCGCGCGTTTAATGGAGCAAAATGTACCAATGGGTGTTCAGACACATACTTATTTATGTTGGGGTTTGTATCTTGTTTAAATTCACATTCCCATTTTACTATTACCTCGTAACCTAGTTGATTAAGGTGATTGATTTTTGACAAGGTATTTTCGTATCTTAAATCCATCGTTTCGTACGAGTTACTGTGTATAGGTTTGTCGCGATCATTTTTAAAACATTTTACACACCCATGATAAAAGCACCCCATCATTTCAAATACCTGATTTGTTTGTGGACAATACCCATCAACAGGCAAACCACCGATGACGATTTCTTTCTGTTTGGCAGCGTGCACGATGTCTATTCCTCGCACCTTTTCCTCCCATATTAACCAGTGAATTGCTACTTTTGATTGATTATCGCGGTATCGATATCCCTGTCTAGGAATCAAACCGATCGTGTCTGTTTTCAAAAAGTTACGACGAAACAGTTTATTACATGCGCTGGCAATCGTACATGCCTCTGTATACGGACACACATTTCCGGATTTAATTAATAATTCTCGAAATTTCAGGCAGGCGAGCGTTAATATATTTACATCGGATATGCAATAAGAGACAATTTCCTTTTGCATATCAAAGATGTTGTCTTTATTTTCGGTGTACCAACTAATAAATTTATCTCTTTCGTCGGTGTTCATAGCATCTGGATTATAATACTTCATATCGGGATACGGTCCTACATAATTTTGATTTTCGGGTGTATTAAAGTGATGCGGAAAAAATCCTTTTCGAAAATCGTCTGTTAAACCGAACGCTTTTGGTAACTTGGCGAGGGACATGGGAAAATAGTTCAAAGAGTCTAACAGTTTCACATTATTGATACTCAGGGAAATTATTTTTGAACCTCTCATAATTAATTCTGGTTTGAACTGAGTTTTGGTTAAAATATAATTCAAAATAAATTGATGGTCGTAAGCCTGCCCATTGTGTGCCAAAACTATTACATGTTTGAACTTCTTTCTTATCTCTAAAATATGTTGAAAAAACGTCTCAATTATGCTGCTCATATTTAATACCTGTTGACGTACACCACACTTTCTGCAAACAACTTTCTCGATTGGATAATCGATGCATACTTCGCACCTCTGATTGAAAACACATAAATTTGGTTCATGCAAAGATTTTCCATCAGATACAGTTTTGTTTTGCGTGCATTCTAAATCGTAAAAAATAAAAAGGAAATCTGTTAATTTTGGTGAAGAGGAATCCAAGGGCATATAACAAAGATGATTATTTGGTCGGTTTTGGTGACATATATTGCAATAAATTGTATTACAACTGTGAGTTCGCCCGGCTAAAACTATTTTGTAGCACGTACGACATTTAAAAAATTTTTCACAAACCGATTTATCTTCTTTTCCCGAGTGAAGTTTATGGTTACTGAAACATAAATTTGAGACAAAATTCCTACGGCAATCAGCGCATTTAATTATCAGCTCTCGATCACATGCGGGGGACCGTTTACAAGATATGCAAATACTGGCACAAATATGACCCCCTTTATTGTTATAGGGGATATGGCAAGGTTCGCAATAATATCGGCACACAAAAGCCGACGTTAGTGAAGTAATAACATTGTAATGATTTTCAAAATATAATAGATTGATTGTCAACTTTGCGTCTGAGTTGCCTTCAAATATGACTTCGCGCCCTTTAGTACCGAAATTATATACCACAATCTTAAAGTTGTTACCAAAATAAGATTGGAATTTGTTCAGTTCGGGTATTCCGCCACCGTTTGCCTCAATGTATACTTCAGCTTCCTGCATCAACTGTTTCGCCTTATTTAACTGAACATGACCTCTATCTCTTCTTATGTTCTCATAACCAGAATCGCCCGTGACTTTAGCTATGGCAACAACAAGAGCTCTGGGTAAACATAAGTTATCTGTATTTTTAATGGAAATAATCCCCTTTCGAGCAGAACATTCTTCCTCAAAATTGTTGTAGTTACCCGCCTTAATCCTACCTTTGCCGGATGGCACCCGGATAATTGTAGCCTCCAAACAGAAGGTTTCCGTACTTAAACCAGCTGAATTAGATTGATAAATGCTCGAAATTAATCCCCAAATATCTTCAAAAGATACCGATTCGGCAGGCTGGAATCGTAAGTACCCTCCCCCTCGCGAAAACTTTTTAGAACAAAAATTAAACCCGATCATATCAGAAGGAGAAACGTCAGTGCATATATAAGAGATTATTTGGTTGATGGCTGTTTTGATCCACAACACTGTGTTTTCATTGGGTGGAACGTCTTTGATTTTGAATTCTATTGTACGCCCCCTTAATGCGAACCTTTTAACGTTCTTTTGAAATTCGCCAACAATTTCGTATTTGGCCATAGTCACCAAAAAAAAAAGTTTGAATGGGGGTATAGGTAATTACCGAGTGAATCTGAAAGTGCTTACCTAGTTACAACACACCAGTGATGTACTTTTTATAGCGGCGAGAATTAGCTACCTACTCGCAATGATGCGATTGAAAAAAATGTTATTAATAACCTACTTTGCGTAATAATTATCGTGCAGAAATCTTACTCCTAGATACACTTAAACAAAAACCTTATCGCGCTGATAGCTATTTTTTCTTAAGTCTGATTCGAATTCGAATGCAAAACTGATTTTGGCATGCACGAGAATACCAACTTAATATGGAATTGGTAAGCCAGAAAAGAATTCAATCTGTGCGGCTCACAGGTACGTTTACACTTCGAAGTGCTTCTTTATACTGTCGACTTTGCACAGGTGCACTGACTTTATAAGAATGCATTACCTAGATATTTATCACGTGATCTATGATACAGATTATGCAATGAGCTTTAAAAATTGCAAAATTGGTGGAAGACATAATGCAGACCTTCTAATCGGTCTGTAATTTTTTACTAGGCGTAAGTACGAAGATTTCTTTACCAAGAAAAATATGAACTAACTGCCTCAATGTTCAAATGGATACTGATACGGTCTTCCGCTAATTGAAATTTTATTGCAGGTGTGTGATCACGTGATTTAACGTTATGCAACGCAAGTCTAAACGAAAATAAAGATTACTTTCAAAATCGGTGCAGATTTCAAACACCCCTCAGAAAACATACACGAATTTCACGATTGCCTTATTTTTGTTTATCCATTTATTGCCTAAAAATAATTAGAACGTAATTTATATAGCATACCCACGATTAATCAACCACAGCAGCACAGTGCAGGAATATGGAACGACGAGATACCTATATTTTGCATTAGTTCTTCGTAGCGCAGATGCTATATCGATACTCTACGACGGTAGTACGTGCGGGGAGTAGGTTCGAACCTTGATCTCTACGGGTTTTTTCTGAAAGATCCAAAAGTGGCATGTCCCCCCCACAACGACTGGATATGAACTGAGAAACAGTCGTCGATAACCATGTGGACGAGAGAGACCATGCAACGGCGACTGGAGGTAGATGCGTCGAAGAACGGGTGGGAAATCCATCCAATAGAAATCAAGGATTTGTCAGGACCATTGAGAACGAAGGAAAGGAGAAGGGGGTTGAACCAATAGGAATCGAGGA